AAGAGCTGTCTAGCCAGTGCGTTAAAATGTAATTATCTGCCCGCATAATACATCTAATTATTGGTCAACACCAATCTTTAGAATATTTTCTTGTCAATCAAACTAAAACTTTGAGGAACCGACACCTTTTTTGGGGTCCCTTTTGGAAAGACTTTAAATCTTTCCTGGCAGCCCCGTCAGGCCCGTTTTTACTCAAAGTCCCACTGACTCTGTAGCCAGTCAGTCGTGGTATAGGTTTTATTGTAGAGGGAACGGTGTAATGAAAGCATATGATGTGTTATATATGGGAGGGGGGGAAGGAGGGGGCCGTTTCCGAACGGTTCTTCCGCCGTTCTCGAGTTTATTGTACGGTCATAGACCCAAAAATACAAGGATAAAAACATTACATAAAATATACAAAATAAGTCAGATATTAGAAGATAACAGGAATATAAAACTTGAATCATGCATCTGTCTTAACGCAACACTTTACGGATTCTTAAAACTGAGAATAAAAACTTAGCCACTGACTGTGATATTGTTTCTTCCCGACAGCAGAAACTTAAGTTAGTCTGCCGGAGGTATACTAATGCATTTATACATTATTGGATAGAGGTAACGGGTACTTTCAGACTTAATATAAACTACATTCTAGAATGGTGTCTGCCAGGGACTCAACTGTTTCTTCCCCTGCCGTTTTTAACTGGAATGGGACATATTCAAAGGCACCATCCTCCTCAGAGAAGACACACTCTGCCCGGTTCCTTTCCCATCTAGCTGTCCCGTCCGTCCCTCCCTCCCTGCCCAAGCCCTCCAGACGGAAGCGGGACCTTTCTTTCCAGCTGCCCGGGTCAGAGGAAGGCGCCTCCCCCTCGGTCGCCGTCGAAGGCGGAGCGCCGGCCTTGGGCGCCTCCATCGCCTTCCCTTCACCTTTGCTTCTCCGCCACCGGTGCCCCCCTCCCTTGAGCCGCCCGCCTTGCCCGCGGTCTGAAGAGCGGTGGCCGCAGGAAGCGGCATTTATGGGCTCGTTTTGCGTGGGCGGTCTTGCGTGGATGGCGTCATAAGGGTGATGGCAATGACGCAATAATCGTAACCGGCCGGGTGAGGGGGGAGGGGCGGGCGGGTCCCCTGGAGGTTCCCGGCCAGTCTTAGCGCCCCGGCCGGTCCAAAGCCGTGGGCAAGAAATGTATCTCCGAATTTCTCTCGGAAATATAATTTTCGTTAAGAGTTTCTATAGGAATCCCTTCACCGCACGGCTGAATGAATACCTTCCTGCGAGGAGCTTTCGCTTCCCAAACAGACCCCAATACACCGAGATGACTTTTTGGTTGGAAGGAGAGGGGACTTTTGGAAAAACTGGCTCTGCAGGAGTCCGCCCGCCCGCCCGCGCCCACCGCACCAACATCTTCCCAGTAGTTTACACACACGTTGCAGTCCGCTTCTCAATGATTTCAACCCAATCGCAGAGGACGTAATATTTTCAGGCGGGAATTGTGTACAGTACAGTATTCATTTCTCTGGGGGGTTGCTTTATGCTGACCTCAGTAGCAAAGCCTTCTAAATACCGTAGATCTGGCTAGGACTGCACTGGGAGGCTTTGTATTACCATATTTGTTCCAGTTTGTCTCTGGGGTCGCAGAAGGTGGTGGCCAGGCCTGTAGCTGGGACGGGACAAATGGGTGCACTTTTAGTACAATATAGTTTTTGTTTGAAGAAAAGCAGCAAATTAAAAATAGGACCTTAGTAAATATTAAAAGAAAAAGGTGGGGAAAATGTACATGAAAAATCTGGAAATTCCCTCCCGCAAAAGATCTCCATATTCAAGATTACCCCTGACCAAGGGGTAATTGTTCATCATCATCACATCATTCTCATTACTCAGGTAACCCTGGAAAAAAAAATCCTATATAGCAACAGTATACCTGAAGCATTAAATATAATTGTTATACTCTACTACACTACTTGGATTTTTCTTTGCTGCTTTTCTGTTTTCCCTACTTAGTCAACAATAAAGCAGCACATCTGCTTGCCCCCAGTGAGAAAAGTTTTTTTTTAAAAAAATATATTCTGTTCTTATGATGAGTAGAGCAGAATTGTTATACTAATGGAGAAAAGAAAGAGATAAACTGGGTGGGAAAACCTACCATAAATTATGTTACTTTTAAAAAACACTCATGTACTTACAATTACACTCACGAACTTACAATTATAGTGGCTTAAAAAGTTTTTTTAGTACATACTTGGTGGCAAAGAATGAAAACAGCCCTAGAACAGAAACACTGCTGTGCACACTAGTTAGCTGGCTGATTGGCCATCTAGGCTGCAATTCTGGCCTCATTTCTGATTTTTCTAATGTGTGCAGGGTTTACTGGGTTTCTTGGCAGAAAATTCAGTGTAGCAAGCAGTTTTTTCCGCAATCAGTTTTAAATCAGTTATATATAGTAACCAGTGCAAAGGTTTTCTGCAGATGGTCCAACCGGAAGGAAAAGGAAAAGGGCAAAAGCAAGACAAGAAGGAAGGACCCTCAAGGAGGAATTAACCTGAAGTATGTAATTATTCTATATCCTTTCCAAAACTCAAAATATTATATTTTCACATGGAATCTATAATTCATATGTATTCCAGCAATAAAACCAAGCTTAAGAGTTCATTGTCTTTACCAGTGATTAATGAAGAACTGAAATATATGACAGACCAGAGGTAAAAGAATTAAAAGCTATAGGTAAAATCAGACTTTTCAACCTGGCATTTCTGGGGATGTCAAAGAGAAGGGTTCTTTCAACTGGCAAGAATGTCTGCAGAGATTTTTCTAGGGTGGGGGTGAGGGCAAAGTAGCAAGGTGGTAGTACATTGCAATTCATATGCATAGCATGATCTACTCCAACACAGTGGCCAAAATCCTTACGGACAACAATGCACATGCAGCTCAAAGGTGTGCCAACAACAGTTGTGACAACACAGAGGTGGAAGTGCTATCCATGAAGCACTTCCACTGGCACATTGCACAACTGGTTGTGCTGGAGATGCAAGACTGATTGTACAATTGAACAGCACAATTCTTTGTTGTACGGCGTAACATTCAGGCAACTGTACATTATGTCAGCATGAACAAGATTTTGGCCAGTGTGTGTCTACATTAAAACAATTTAGGATTCCAAGAGGAAGCAAACACTCCTTTTGTCATCCTCATCCTGTGGACACCCGTCTCTTTGTGTGGTGTGACCTGTCTCATGTACATACATTTGTTATGCATGATCAAGTAATTTTGGATTTATGGTGAGCATCATGAGGTAAAAGATGTTCATAGAGTGGTTTACCACTGCCACACCAATCCCCAATTGAGTTTGCACAGCCAAGCACAGATTTCGATCCGTCTCTTGGGTCTTACTTGGACACCTTATCTACTAAATCACACTGCCCCTCTTTGACCGAAATCCTCTTGATATAAATGCATAAGGCTAATCAGCTGCCATAGTTTTTTGGGAATTAAAAATTTCCAACTTCTCCTGAGTGTCTCTTTCATTGCAGGACAGGATAATCTGTAATCTAAAAAATATATACAATATTTTAAAAAAATCACTCTCACCAGCTGTACATGGCTTGAGTTACTGTGAAGTCCGCCTCTTTACCAAAGAAAACAGGAGTCATTTCTATAGCAAATTCCAAATTTGGGTTTATTGAGTTATTTAAATGAAAAATGTTAATGGTTTGTCTTCTACCTTCTCTTGCGGCGCCAACGGGCGCTGCAAGGGCAAACAAGTTCCTTGCTCAAAAGGGTTCAACAATTTAGTCTCCCAACGTCCGGGAAGAAAGGGGTCATAACTTGGGTTCTTCACTTTCGTCCCCTAATAGTGGTAGGGTCTCCTCGTCTCCATTCTCTCTCCAAAGCGACTCCCCTTCTCGTGAGGAGGGACCCCACGGTCCTGGAAATATGTCATCCTCCGGGCCTCCTCCGCACGCCATGTCCGACGCTCCTCTGCTTCTCTGGCCACCGCCTCTCTTTCCTCCTTCAACCTCCTTCTCCACTCCCGTGCCTCCAACTCTCCCCAGTAAGAGGGTCTCTGCGGTAACCCCCTCCTATGCCTGTAATCCGCTTCTTCCCTGGGTACTTTTACCTTCTCCCATTTGCTTGTCCAGAGATCTTCAACCCAGATCAGTGCCCGCCCACCCCACCCCAGTATACATTTAATTTGGGTTTATTGAGTTATTTAAATGAAAAATGTTAATGGTTTGTCTTCTAACTTCTCTTGCGGCGCCAACGGGCGCTGCAAGGGCAAACAAGTTCCTTGCTCAAAAGGGTTCAACAATTTAGTCTCCCAACGTCCGGGAAGAAAGGGGTCATAACTTGGGTTCTTCACTTTCGTCCCCTAATAGTTGAGTTACTGTGAAGTCCGCCTCTTTACCAAAGAAAACAGGAGTCATTTCTATAGCAAATTCCAAATTTGGGTTTATTGAGTTATTTAAATGAAAAATGTTAATGGTTTGTCTTCTAACTTCTCTTGCGGCGCCAACGGGCGCCGCAAGGGCAAACAAGTTCCTTGCTCAAAAGGGTTCAACAATTTAGTCTCCCAACGTTCCTGGGTATCTATTCCCCGGTGGACGCTTTCTTGAGGGGTCGGCGGAGGAGTGGTTTGTACCTCTTTGGATACCCTAGTGATGGACGGCACTCCAACAAGAGCTTCTATGCTCTCATCATGCCTGTCACAGTTACACTATTGTATTTCAACCAATATTTTATTAACTTAATTTTAATTAGGCAGGTATCTTGGACATAATGCAAGGCGTAAGCTGCTGATCTCTACTTTATGGTGCACTGTAATTAGGAGAACATGGGCTTCTGTGCAATATAAGTGGATTTAAACAGGGAAAATACTGCTTTAAAACCACTTAATTGATGGTTGGGCACTGGTAATTTAGGAGAGTAAAAGTGAAACAGAACAGGCAGGACTGCAACTCTCTTTCCTTAATATTTCACACTGTAACTACAGTGCTATTTAAACATACATTCTGAGGCAGAAAGAACAATTTTGCTAAATGCATTTAATGAGGAACAATAAAATGTGCTGACTGCAGGGGAATCCATGTTTAACAGCTGTTTTAAAACACAAAGGAGATCCAAGAAGTTTCCAAAATCCATTTAAAAATGCAGAGTCAAAAAGATATATTCTTTGGAAGATAATATCAACCGTTCTGCTCTCTCCTTATCACAGTTGCTATAAAGATATCTTTAAGAATTTCTTTATCCAAGTTCCTCCCTATGGACAGAACATAACAAGTTAAAAAAACATTTTTAACACATTAGAATATTAGGTTTACATTGATTCAATGGGGTACCAGATACTCCCTTCCAGATAAGGCAATTAGGGAAAGACAGAGGGCAAACATCCAAGCAGGAAAATGGCTTAGCTCCATGTCTTCTACTCTAATCCCTTCCAATAATTTCTTCCCCATCTTCATGCAAGGAGCAAGGACAGGTCTCAGACCTCATCCTGTCGTTTTGGTTGATAACTAGGACAGGTGGTGGTGAAAAGCTTAACTCATAAAGCAGATGGCAAATGTCTCCTGACCCTTCAATCAAATTGGACAAGTTGAGCTCTGATATTTCATTTTTGTACTTGTACAGGGGTGCACTCAAACTCTCAGCAAATGATGCAGACCCAGTTACAGACTCTGAGGAACTCCTTAGAACCCAATGCAGTGGTCGCTTGCAGTTGATAGGGTAAGAAAAATGTTTTTCTCAAGCCCGGCTGAGCTGCCTCTACCTAGCTGATGGCAAATGGCAATAACTGATTTCTCCATTTCACAAGGAAGGAGGCTGCACAGTTAATGAAGCTACTCTGCAGTAAACATTACTGGTGCTTGATCAAACCATTTATGGCACAAACTATTTATGAACAGTGATGGACATGGAATGACCCAGTCATTCATAAAGTAGAACTGATACGTGATTTAAGAATACAAGCAGCTTGAGGCTGAGGAGTGCTGAACTCTCCCTTTGCAATGCACCTGCAGTTCCTCTCTTTTTCTCGATTGGACTGGTATTACTGCTGGTATTTAAAAAATGATTGAGGGAAATTCTTACCATAGGCCTTTGAAGTCCATATATTCCTCTTACCTATTAAAACCAATCTATTTGTTCGTTCATCATCCTCTTTCCATCGGACAGTAGTTTCCTCTAGGTCGTACAGTTCATGAACACCTTGAACTATCACCTGGTGAGGCTTGTCTTCGATAGACACAAGCCCCTGATTAAAAAGATGATCAATTAACAAAAAAGGCATCTGTATAATTAATCTGAGGCATGCTAATGCTGTATAAACAACATGAAAAATAAGAAAACATTCTGCTGTTGTGATTGTAATTACTTTGGGAAAGCAGGCAGGCAGGCAAGCAACACTAGAAGAAAAATATTTCTGGGGCAAGTAATTTTTTTATATCACGTAGCCCTCAATTATTTTGTAGCAGTTATGTCTTAAAGAATTCTTAATATTCCAATCTCAGGTTAAGAACTGTGGGAGACAATTTCCAAATAGAGCAGGCCTTTTGAATTAACAATACTTACTTAACAAGTCCCACTGTTTCAGTGGGTCTGCTCTAGTTGGATTAGCAAATTTACTTCTATGAATGTGTCACACACCTTAGAAGACAAGTGAGAGGTTAAAAAAACTAGCCAACAATTTAGGCCTTCCAAATTTTTTTAAAAAAATCTGTCCTGTGACTATTATTATGCCAAGAAATGTGTTACAGTACATTTCTTTCCCACACAATCTGCTAACACCTGAAGTCTCAAACCATCCACAAAATAGCCCCCATCTCTTGCCCCACTGTGTTAGATTAGGCATTTAAGATGTCTTACAAGTGCAAAAGCAACTTTTTGTGTCCCTGAACAAGACACAATTAATGCTTCTGACATTTTTGTTGAAAAAAAAAAAGAATACTGAACCTTGAGTCTTATGACTTCCATGGGGTTACCTCTCTTGTCTTTGATGTTCTTCTCCCACAGCAGATTCTACAAAGAGGAAAAAAAGGACTTTAAGAAAGATGCATGCTTACTAAAATATCATCCCTGAAGAAAGTCATCAAGGGTTCCCTTTACTACTGCTTTATAATGCAAAGGGGGAAAAAAAAGAAAGCTATCTTTTCGATGCAGTGAGGTTTAGGTATCTGGATGCGTAGCCAGAGGTTGAGGGTTTGATTCCCCACGGTGTCTCCTGTAAAAAGAGCCAGCCTGTGTGGCCTTGGGCATGCTGCACAATCCCAGGATGCCTCCAGAAGAAGGGAATGGTAAGCCACTTCTAAGTATTCCCTACCTGGAAAATCCTGAAAAAGGGTCACTATAAGTCAGAACTGACTTGATGGCACATGATGATGATGATATAGCACTTACTTGAACAAACACATTTAGGTCTTCTTCCATTGCACTTCCTAGTACTTCAAACGTTGATGTGACAATGCTCTGAAAACAGATATGTAAAAATTTCTATTTCCTGCTTTATCTATCAGGAAAGATAAAGTGCATCTTATTGATTAAAAAATTATACTTCCACTTCATGATCATGGGCAAGAAATAAAATTATTCCATAAAATACTAAGAAGATATAAGATATGAAATAGGAAAGCAATTTTCAAATATTACATCCCTGAATTGGAATGTTTCATGATCACATTTATTTTCTGTAATATTGTAGACCCCTTTACAGGCGTATCTCAGTTTACGAATTTAATGCGTTCTCTGTGATGTTTTGTAATATCAAAAACTCACAAACCGAAATGCGGTTTTCCATAGGAATGCATGCTCGGGGGTGGCACTATAAACCTCCCAGGCGCAACGCAAACTTGGTTTGTATTGTGGAAAAAAATTCATAAACTGAGGCATTATTTTCAATGGATTTTTGTTCATAAACCGAAAATTACGTTAACCAAGGCATTCATAAACAGAGGTACCACTGTGTAGCACTGAAATTCAATAATTAAAAGCACACAAAGTTTCAGGAAATGCCCTGATACAGCTGGTCCATTGTGTAAGTTCAAATCTCCTGCTAACATCTCCTTATCAAATAAGAAGTCCGTATTGAAACAACTGGAAAATCTTTGTTGAGTCCCATCTGTGTGTTGGCCACACAGCCTCTCTATACAATACATCACACGTGATGGTGCTGTAGCTGAATCACATTCTGACCACTTATTAGCTAATACCAGTAAGGCCCGTTACAATAGATGCCAACACTTCTTTAGACTAATTTCTGTTTAGTCTACCCGCACAAATGTGAACTAAATGAAATCTCACTTTAATTTCCATCCAGCTTCCCTAAATGCTTGCAAGGAACTCCATAAATACAAGACTTCTATGTGACAAAACATGAATGTAATGTCCTTAAACTGCATCAGATAAAAGTAAGCCTTACATACACTTTCACTAGATACATGATAAACAGAAACCAAACATATATCCCTAACAATAATACTTTCAAATGAAAAAAATATATAGTAATTTCTGTATCACTACTCTCCCTCCCATCTTTCCACTTACTCAGAGGGCTTTTTAACATGCTTCCTGGCCTCCCAAGATGACTGATTAGGTTAGAGAACAGGGAAAGAAAAATGGAATATAAGGGTACGGGACATGCGGACAGTAACAAACACTTGCTTAGCAAATCACACGTAATGTGCAGACACAAGTTTTAAAAAGTAGTAACCTTATCTAGGTGTGGATGAGGCACTTCCTCAAGCTGAAGTCTCTGCTGCAAACTTAGAAAAAGCAAAATATATTTAGTGTTACACTGAACAGAAACACAAAATATCTGTCATTCATCTTGTGAATATAAAGTGTGTAAAAATAGATTTTGCTAAGCATTAAGCATAGCAATCAAAGGTAAATGGCTCATGGTAAGATCAGGATAAGGCAAAAATCCCCTGGCTATCCCCTTTTACTTCAAGCAATGGAAACTTTTAATAGTGGTTCAGCTGTTCCCTGCCCCCCAATTCCAGCCCTCACTTCAGGCCACAGGGCAGCTAACAATGGATGGATGCTGTATGAAACATTCCCCAGCTACTATCTGTGTAGTTGTTATTGAGACAGCTGCATGAAAGGTGACAGTGCAACTGAAACAGGTATCTACTTGGTACATGTGACATCACTGATTAAACTAGATTCAGACCTCACCAGCCCATTCAACTTTCATGTACTGTTTTATAGTTAACTGTTTGAGAATTAATATTTTGTTATCCCATACCTTTTGTAGAAGTGGTGACAGAACAAGGTTCTTAAAGGTGTTGGCTAAATTGCTCAAAATGGTTGCATAAAACATGCAAGCTGAATTCTAAAACAGCATGTAAAACTCCTATGTAAGAGCGAACAACTCTGCTGATAAACCACACAACCTAAAATTACAATCTTACCTTTCTCCTGACATGCTATCAAAAGCGTGGAGATCTAAGACATCACAGAGATCAACTCTGAGGAGAAAGTGTAACAAAGTTCATTTCTTCAATCCTTAAACCACTTTACACACAAGAAAAAATATTCAAATACACATATTAAGAACATAAGCAAGTCTATTCTTTCCATTATGACCTGTTATATTTGGATTTTATACTGTCTGTAGTGATCCAAACCTTTGCCTTCATTAAAAGAAAAGGCAGCATGAGGAAGGAATGTCAGAGCTGGAGAAGTGTATTTCTGTTACAAGCAGTGAGGAGCTGCTGAGCCCCTAAGTCACACCAAGCAGACATAACGTGAAATCATAGCTTCTTCTGTAAGAACGAATACACAAGCCCGAGGTTGCCCATCACTCATTCTCTAAGACAGAAACTGTGGTTTCCTGTAATATAACAACCATGGCTCCATAAAACTCAAACTGAGTTAGCTATCCTGGCCATCATTAGTTGCTCATTCCAACTTTTTGAAAACAGAAGTTTCTGAGCTATCCTGGAGAACTGACAATGCACTTTTTGTTGGCAGGGAAAAAGTACCACAGCTACCATAATAGCATTTCATTTCTCTTCAACTATGATAGCATTTGTCTTTAAATGGTTCATGGGTTGAGAACAACTCCTTAAGTGTGCTAACCTGCACACCCGACAACTACATTCCTGATCTACCGGTAATTTTTAAAATAAATCTATTTGACAAGCAGCCACAAATAATGGTCCTTGGAAAATATCCTTTTCTGTGGATATTTTATGAACTGACCAGCATCTCCTACCAAGCCCTACTGCTAGTCTGAGATGCTGAGGCCTTTTGATTAATGCAAGTTAAGTATTTTGGCAATATAAATGATGCTTTTCATAGAGTGTCATGCTGACAGAATAACTCTCAACAGAAAGGCAATAAATGGGTAATGCAATATACCCCTAAGAGTTCACAAAGAAAGGTGAACTACAGTATTTTATGTTTGAAGCCCATCTTTAAAGAAACTGAAAAGCTGAGGTGTAAAGTTGTTGAAGCTAGTTTAACACATTCCCTCTTTCTACCTTAACAAAAGAAAGAATCATAGAGACAGTAATCCATATAAACTAACATGACAGTCACTACAAAGAAGAATTTTCATAGAGCAACTCTTTAGCAGCAGGGCATAAAGCCTCCAGCATGGAGCAGCTTGCAAGCAGAATTTCTAATAAGTTATATCAATGGATCTGTTAACAGGATTAAAATATTTGGAAATGCGGTATTCAGCTGGTGACTTTTAAAAAATACTGAAATAGATGGGATTCCTAAGTAGACTCACTAACAGAAAAGCATGATTAATAGACTTTGGTATAGTGGCTATGTGTGTCTAAAAAGCAAGCAGAATACTGTATAGGTTTATTATACGTGACACTTGATACCCATTTGATTCTCTATCACCCCTTCCATAAAATATATCCAAAATGGACGGTAGATGCAAAGAACAGATTACAACTGCTACACAGTCTTCCACTGTCCTTGTATGCAAAATGAGAAGAAATATTTCTCACAACAAATAAAGACATTTAATATGAAAAAAAAATCTTAATGCATGTGGCTGACTGATTGGGACAGGTAGACACCAAAGTGTTGCTTTTGCATTCTTGGAATGGCTGTATATCAGTGCAGAGCAGCAGTAGCTACCTCATAGTTTATCTACATAAGGAGACTAGGTGGAGCTGTCCTAGCAATCCATTAGCACGTGGACAAGCTTTGCATGTTCCCTTTGGGTTTTTATTCTTTTCCAAATGAACATTTCCATTTCCGATGGGTCTTGGGAGGCTGGTTGCTTTTTTGGGGGGGTTCTCCCCATCTCTGATGGGTACTGCATGCTTCCCTTGCTTTTTCCTTTGTTTTCTTTGTATTTCTGACCTGCCCCCTTTGTTCTCTGTGCATTTCTGATATGCTCCGTTTGTTTTCTGTGCATTTCCAATGGGTCTTGCATGCTTGATTCCTTTTCTTCCCCCCTCCCCCTTCAGCCAGAAGGGATTAATCATGTTTCCAATGAGTCTTGCAATGATTTTTTTTTTGGCGATTTTTTTTCTTTGGCCAGAACGGATTAATTACATTTCAATGCATTCCTATGGGAAATGGTGCTTCGACTTACGACCATTTCGAGTTACGTCCATCTTCTGGAACGGATTATGGTCGTAAGTCGAGGCACCACTGTACTGACAAATAAAGCAACAGTTTTCCCCATCCTGTTTGTCTGATATATTGACATTTATTCAAGCCTTTTAGCAGAATTATGAGCACAAAGATTTGGGGCTTTGATCCATGTATCCTGTCTGGACACTCAAGATACCCCATCCCAAGAAATATAAGAAAAGAAAATAAATATGAAAAATATATTGGCCAGTTATTGTTTGTAGGCCATTACGTCGCTTTCCTTGGTGAAGATATATTTAAGAACAAGATGGAGCAGTCATAATTTTGAGGAAAGTTAGGACCCACCAGTTATGCTGCATATTCCATTACCTTGATCGACGAGTTTCTAAAATTTTGGCAAGTCCATTAATTGACCTAATATAATTGAAAATGTGTGAGAAAAAGCCAGTTAGGATGTAGCAGGTGCATACATACTCAGTTTATATATATAGGACTGAAACATAGTACCTGAAGTACAAGATTCAGTGCAATCTGGAACTCTAAATTGGAAGGATGTACACATTCTCAATAACAGAAAAGCACCAGCAACCCTACACGCCCTGCTCCCAGTCAGCAAAGATCTCAGCTAGACGAAATAAAAGGAGGTTCTTGGCCTTGTAATACACCACAATTCACATCTCATTGGATTTCTCAGCTACATATCCTGGTGCAATCTAAGATCAGAAGGATCTCTAATTCATTCAGCTATGGAACTATGAGATCTGAGAAAAAAAATTTACTCTTATAGAAGCAAAAGTATCCATTTAAAAGAGCTAAAAAACCCTCTAGACCCAAGGAGCAATATAGCTTTTTCAATTCAATGCCTCTTTTTCATTGAGGGAGGTCCATGAAGTCCAAACTTGCTGAAAAAGTGAAAGCCACCATACTGGTCATAGCAATCCAACAAAACATGTGGCTTTACTGCAGCTCCTCCTATACTTTTAACTACTATAAAAGCTGCCAGTCCCTTTCCTGCCCTTCTCCCCACAGCCTCACCTCAGCTAAACCACAGGCCAGTTTCTCAAACCAATATCCTTTTGTCACTTTAACTCCCAGAATCCCTGACTAGCTGGCAGGAGCTTCTGAGAGTTGAAATCCAAAACATCTGGAGGACCAAAAGTAGGAAACCACAGTACTTTAGTGTACTTTTAACCAAATTTATCACAGACCCTCAAATGTGCTCACTGTTCACTTTTAAGTATTCCAGAGTGATAATCACTTCATTCCTCGAAACTGTTTGTATGTCTTTAAATGAGGACTGTGATACATCTTAACACCCAAGAATTTAAAAAAGCTTATGTAGTCACTACACAGCCATAATGAAGCATTATCGGATTCTAAAAGATCTCCTCTATAGAGAATTAGTGCAGGGAAATCGCCCCAGAGGGAGACCACAGCTGCGATACAAGGATATCTGCAAGCGGGATCTGAAGGCCTTAGGAACGGACCTCAACAGATTGGAAACCCTGACATCTGAGCATTCAGCCTGCAGGCAGGCAGTGCATCATGGCCTCTCCCAATTTGAAGAGACCCTTGTCCAGCAGGCCGAGGCAAAGAGGCAGTCCCGAAACCAGGAAAATCAGGGAGCTGGACAGGGGACAGACTGTATTTGTCGTCAGTGTGGAAGGGATTGTCACTCTCGCATTGGCCTTCTCAGACACACTACAGTGGACACTGTTCCAAGACCTCTATGCAGAGCATGTTACCATAGTCTCTCGACACTGAAAGATGCCTACCAAACAAACAAAATAGCCACCATGCGGTGTGTAAATAACAATTAAGCACCCACCTGATAGACAAAGGAGGACATCTTAACATGTGTCACAGCAATACTTCAGTGTGAAATTTCAAATGCCATCAGCCTTGCAAAGGAAACAGTAAGTATTCAAACAAAAGTCTACCAGGCACTATAGCTTATCTGTGCTTACCTGACAACTGTTCTCAGTTTCATCAATGCTTCTTGTGAAACCAAATCAATCTTATTGATGATTACAAAATCTGCTAGTGCAATCTGTCTACAGAAGAAAAAATGAATAAATAAATGGGCAGTCCACCCGTATACTCTGTATTGTCTGTTAGCACAAATTAGACTTTTAATCTTTTTTTTTTCAAGACCAGGGTGGTACTATGATGTTCACACAATTTTATGTTTAAGCTATTCAAATACAGCACTAAATATTTATATCATTATTTCATAACATGGGGATCTCACACTATCATCCCAAATACATGTACTAGGAAGCAAGGTAAAATGAAAATTATGGTATTTACTTCCTAGCAGACATACTTTTTAATGATGTAATATTATAGAAAGCAACTTAAATGGTCTCAGAACCATAAAGAAAAGAGTACCCAAACTATGCATCAAGGGAAAAATATGCATCCAAAAGAGGAAATTCTTAAATAAATTAGTGCAGACCTATTCTCTGATTCTGATACACTATACCAAAGCACTGACTCAGAATGCTATTTTAAGAACACCCAATATTTAAGTAAATTGGGTTTATTTTTTAACCTTCAGCAGGAGTGCCAACTGCTGTACAAATACAGTGGTGTCTCACATTACAATGTTAATTCGTTCCAGCAAAATCGCTGTAGAACGAAAACATCATAAAGCAATTTTTAAAAGCCCATAGAAACGCATTGAAACCCGATTGATGAGTTCCTATGGGCTTGAAACTCACCGTCCAGCGAAGATCCTCCATAGCGCGGCCATTTTTGCTGCCCGTGCAACGAGGAATCCGTCCCAGAAAACAGCAGTTGGCCATTTTTTTTACCCAGCGGCCATTTTGAAACCGCCGATCAGCTGTGCGAAACTCGTTTTGCAATAATCGGTTAGCGAAGCAGGGAACCGATCATCACAAAGAAAAAAACACATAGGAAACATTGTTTTCCGATTGCTTTTGCAATCGCAAAAACTTCGTTGTTATGTGATTTTGTCGTAAAACGAAGCGCTTGTCTTGCAAGGCACCACTGTATAGTTATCTGCCTTGGAATCCATAACATCAAGCTTGGTTTACTACAAGCTTCTTAGTGTGTACAGAGCTAATTCTATGACCCATGCAGTTGCATTCAGATGTCACTATTACACTATATCATACATTGTTAAAACAGTACTGTTGCCCACACCATATAAAATGAAGAATTAGAACAGAAACAGAGCTAACATTTAAAAATCCAGGAGGGATGGCCACGATGAAGCAATCCACAGTACACAAACAGAAGTCAGTAAAGTCTATAAACTAAACCCAATCTTAGTGTGCTGGAGCTGAAGCAGTATGGGCTATGTAGTCAGAGAAATGCAAGATGGAGTCAGACAGGTTCTGTGTGAAGATGATTTGAGACACACTGGAATGTGTTTTTCTAAGTGTTATGAGAGTGTTTTTCTGAAGACCAGTACAGCCTGGTTCGAGATACTGTAAAGCTGAAGGTCAGACAAAGAGGCCTGTGAAAGACTCTATATTCCGAGCTAATTGGAGAATCATTTCCCTCATGGGAAATGAGGGTGGAGGAAGGTGTAACAGCCCCTTGAGACTAATTGGTCAACAGCCATGAAGTGTCAAGAAGGGAGGAGTTAGAGAACGTAGAAAATAGACAATGGGTTATGTCAGAGAAGTTTGATTCCATGATGATGGGAGAGAAAAAGAACTTGATGGTTTGAGCATATGGCTTGAAGGAGAAAGAATATAAGTGGAGAGAAAGAAGGGGGGGGCTAGGCCACCTTAGTAGTTTTTTTATTTTAATGGGGATTAGTTATTTTATTTTTATTTAATTGTTCGATTTATATCCCGCCCATCTGGTATATTCTAGCACTCTGGGCGGCTTACAGAATATCAAAACAATTAAAAAACATAAAAACATTAGCATACAACAATAACAAATAGTGAAGGAATAAATAAATATTAAATAATAAATAGCAAAGCAAAAGAAATCAGTAGCTGACAGGAGGGAAGGCCTGGATGTACATCCATGTTTTAAGCTGCCATTTGAAAGTACCCAGCGTAGGGGCCTCGCGAATCTCCAGAGGAAAGTTGTTCCAAAGGCGAGGAGCCACCGCCGAGAATGCCCGGCTTTGAGTCTTTTCCCTCTTTTATTTAACTGCAATAATCTTTGAATATGTTAAAGCTTGAGCAATATAAACTGATTCTATGAATCTCTATTTTTCTAATAAAAATAATTATAAAAATTCTTACAAAGGAATGGTCTCTTGAACAGCAGGGTCTGGCTAAATCTAGGAGGTGGTGAGGGCCACAAACTAGCTATCTTTAAGAGTCCTACCTAACTGAGCTGTTGTGAGTTCTAAGGAATCACAAATCCTGTGTGTCTGGACTTGCAAAGTGTTCTTTTAAGGTCAGACTTGTTCAAGGGGCTTACGCTACACATTGCTGAGGTCTTGGGACTTACCTCAGCGCAAAGGTGCTAAGTGGCCTGTCAAACTCTCTGACCGAGTGCTAAGCGCTCCTTAGGGAGGCTTGGGCACCACACCTGGCAATGTCACATGTCAAGGTTTTCACCGGATTTAGTTAGATAGAAAACTGTCATAGTACTGATACCTGGCTGCTTCATTGATGAGGCCGCTGGGTTTTTCTTCTCTCAGATGCTAAAACAAGATTTTTTGAAAAGACAATCAAAATTTAAAATTACTGATTAATTCTACAAATTATATCATTGACAAATAGTGAAGCCACCTTATATAAGCAATAATCAGGATATCATTTAAATTAAACTGAGAATTGAACAATGAATTAAAAGGAAAAGGCCCGATATTGGCCAAGCCCAGTATCCTGTTGAAAATGTCTAGAGTGTTAACGGCTAACTTGTAGTGTTTTGCAGTCTGTGGCAGGCTGTTGAGCAGGTCACAGATCACCCCCTGTTGTTTTCAGCAGGGTTTGCTGTATGCATGCTCTGGAAACAGCCCACCGCTCAGGCAACAAAATCTCATCCATCAAAGTGGATGAGATTTGATCCATTGGCAAGTTTCAAATTTGGGTTAGAATCTTATTGCCCTCTTCCACTCATGCCACAGTCTGAGTACTATCTACCATTGGAAACCTCGAAAAGGGTTGCCATTAAGTCGGAATTGACTTGACAACTCATTATTATTGTTTCAAGACTAAATTTGAATATAGAAATTGTTCTAATGTAAACATATACTGTTTCAGACAATACAAGTGCAGAAGCTGTCAATACCTTTCTTGAACCACTGAAACAAATACATTGCGAGCTTTCCATGGTAACCCATCTTCCTCCATGGTCCAATAAAGGTACTGCCTGCTTCTGCATTTGTATTGTCTATTTGGAAAGACCACACAGCCTTTTACTGATATATTTTTTCAGTATTTCTCAACATGTAAATGGGACAAGACATTTTACCTCCAACTAAGTCATAGTTTTTAATATATTTATACACGGCCACATCTTTGAAAAGAAGCATCCTGTTGTATAATATCTATACATTTCCCTGACTTCTCCAGTCAAAATTATTTTCTGTCTAAACAGCCTGAAGACCTTGGAGAATAGGAGGACTACACAGGACCTCTTCTTTGACCTTTTCTTTGTAATTCCACATTCATTGATTCTTTTACATGAAACACTGCCAGGCTTTGTGGATTCGTAAAAAGCAGCGCCAGTGATGTCGATTTAGATCCTCAGAGTTGTGACCTGCCAGTTCAAGTTGTCCAATTGTTTGCCTTTTGATTGAAACATGAATATTTCAGATTGCTGGGTGACAATCCCATTAGAGTGACAGTCCATGATATCAATTATCACTTCAGTTTCAATTTGGCTTTCTAGCCACAGGGTAGTTTCTCCACTTTACATGGACTAGGTTGGATCTCTGAAGCATGACACCCCTAAATTGCTCCCTATTAGCTCCATGTCATTGCTTGTATTGCCTCCAGGATTCTTTAAATCACAAGCCAATGCAGAGGTCAAGCTTTGAAACCAGAGGAATTGGACAAGTTTACCAATTCTCTATACAAAGCAAAAATTATTTATCAGGCAGATGGCTGAGAAAATTCAAAACTCCTACACTCTTGTGACAGCATGTCAAGCTTTGTATATGTTTACCGATTCAATAATGTAAGAGGTTGTATTAAATCGCAAAGATATTAAACATTATAAATTTATTATTTCAACAACATTCTTGCAGGCTTTCCTTACCAATTTGCTTACAGAAAAAAATGTACCATCATATTAATAAAAAATACATGCAAATGCAATTCTAACTTTATTTAATATAATTACTTTTCTTCCTATTATGGCTTGCAAAAATCAACATGTGGAAGAGCTTTCAGAGCTAAGTGGCTGCAAAAAAATCAAGGAAGCAGTAGGGCAAGTAATGATATAAATGTAAATTATATTCCACAATAACTCATATAGGAATCTTAGGTAACTACTCATAAAATATATCATGCCACTAAGACAGAAAAAAGGAGCAAAATTGTGAGAAAGGAGCAAGTTCACATTGGTCAAAGTGCAGCAAAGAGTAAGAAGGGTTTAAATTGTGTTAAATATGATATTCTTCACTAAGCAATCCTTACAGTGAAATAAGCTTATATGATCTAACATTGCAAAAGCTTTTTGTTGCCTACTTCAAGGTTACAGTTTCCTATGAATTCTGTATGTACAGGAACAAATAATCCCCTAACCCAGCAGTGCCTGGGCTCATTGATCAGCTTCACAGTTATAGTTTGGGACAGTGAATTAACATGAAGGAAACAAGATCAATGTTTCCTGACCTCTAATCTCCTGCTACCAGTTTGCTGGTCAAGCCAATCATCATTTACATGCTATTTTGCATAAGATTCCAAAAGACCCCCCCCCCTTATCTACAGTTTGGTGTTTCCCAGCCAATTGTTTCATGCATGCCTACCTACTGAAAATCAGTTCCCAGCATTTCATCCTCCTCCAGCACTGTCAAGAAGCAGAATTAAGAAGCAGCTAAGCGTGGTGGCGCTGTGGACTAATCCACAGAAGCCTGTGCTGCAGGGTCAGAAGACCAGCAGTCGTAAGATCGAATCCACATGATGGAGTGAGCTCCTGTCGCTTGTCCCAGCTCCCGCCAACCTAGCGGTTCGAAAAGTAGATCAATTGGGACCACCTCGGTGGGAAGGTAACAGCGTTCCGTGTCTAAGTCGCGCTGGCCATGTGACCACGGAAGATTGTCTTAGGACAAAAACGCTGGCTCTATGGCTTGGAAACGGGGATGAGCACCGCCCCCTAGAGTCGAACACGACTGGACAAAAATTGTCAAGGGGAACCTTTACCTAAGCATTGCTTTGATTCTCAAGAGCTGCTGTTACCCTTGAAGGATAGATAGCTCCTCAACCTGAAGATGCCCTCCTTTACTTTCTTCCATGGGAAAGAGTTTAATGGCATAGAGTTTAAAATGTTTAAAATTTGAATGGCTAAATCCAACTGTTAGTCCAACTAGAGTAGATCTGATGAATCAACAGGACTTAGCAAAGTCCAATTGCTTCAGTGAGTCTGGCTGAATCCAAAAATTGGATTTAGGTCAACAATTTAAATTTATTTTTATTATTATTATTCATTGGTTATATTATTGGTTTGGTTATAAATAAATGAATGGATGAATAAATGAATAAATAAATAAATAAATATTCAGAATGGATTGCTATTCACTCTCATGGAGAAAAGTAGAGTGCTATTTTTGGAGACAGAAGAATGGATGTATAAATGATTCCTGGCTCACTGATTTGTCCGGCCCTGCAGATTTAGCAATATATAGACTCAATTTTTATACACAGCCCATCTTCCGTAATGACAGGCATTTTGTTAGTTACACAGCAAACAAGCTGCTAATCCCAAAATACTGTTTGAGATTCAAGTAACTTTTCTCCAGCTAGATTGTGTCTTTTTGGAAAATCACAAAAATGCAACAGTTACCACTAGACAATGTAATCTGAATATTCTGTGTGCAAAAGAGTAAAGAGTAAAATTATTTTATATCACTTGGAAAGGTTTTGAAGGCAATCAACTCAGAAGGCAGAAATTGACAACAAGGTAGAAGTCATAACAAGAAAGATCTCAAAATTACTTAAAAGATAATTAGAAACATATATACACTTCTCCCTTGAATTGCTTGGGTCTGAAGAGCACGGTTTAGGTTATGCATAGATTTTTTCCCAATCAATCAATCAATCAATCAATCAATCAATCAATCAATCAATCAATCAATCAATCAATCAATCAATCAATCAATCAATCAATCAATCAATCAATCAATCAATACCCAATAAAAACTGCCCCTGGCCACCTAGGACCCCATGGGTTCAACATTGAAAGCTTCAAAGTGGTCTACTTGCCCCCAAACACGTCTCAAATTCAGCCGCTAGATCAGGGGGCCATAAGGACCTTTAAGGTTCATTACACATGGTACTGAATGGAAAAGATTGTCAATACCATGGCAGACAACCCCAACAGAAAGGACTCTTCTCTTTCTATTTCTCTGTGTGAGTGAATCAGCTGTTTATGTTTTGTAGTTACATTTTTGGGGACATAAAAGTTATAACCGATTTTGAACTATATGGGGGTCTGCAACCCCTAACCCCAGTGTTGCTGAAGAGAGAAGTGTAATTAAAACACCAGAATAGGAACAAGTATCATACTTTTCTCTTGTTTGCTGCTTAATGATAGTAGGTATGTCATTTTACCTGCAGTCCATACTTTGCATCAACAACAGATACAATACCTGTAAAAACAAATTTGCCCATATGAATTTAAATCTGAAGAGAACCAATTACTAAAATAATTCACAGCAGCTCTGCAGATTTCCGCAGGACTTTCTAAATGAAAATAAAGTTAGCAACCTTACTCATGTTCACTAATATAATTTGGAAGCAGTAGCACATATTACACTCACCATTTATTAAACCCATTACAGAAACAGACATATATAATATAAATATGCATTTTCTTACCATCAAGATAAATATCACTTCCTAATTCAGCATCAACCCAAAACATGGAGGCAACTGCACCTAGCAAATAAAACATATACAAGCCATTCAGGTTCTTAAACTAGATAGACACAAATTTTCACTTAGATATTACAACCATCATGTAGATTATCTAGACCAGTGGTTCCCCCCCTTGGGTCCCCAGATGTTCTTGGACTACAACTCCCAGAAACCCCGGCCAGCACAGCTAGTGGTGAAGGCTTTTGTGAGTTTTAGTCCAAGAACATCTGGCGACACAAAACTGGGAGCCACTGATCTTGGGTCAACTCACTCTGAATTCAGGCTGAAATTGAGGACTGAGCTGGCCTTGAATGGACTTACTTTCTTTATTATTTAAGTACCATAGTGCAATAAATATTACACTGGAAAGCCAAATCTGAGTCATCCAGCTTTGCAGTGACTTGATCTGCATCTTGTATTATTACATCTGAAACCACAGTCAGTGCTCACAGGGGCTGCAGACTGATTCAGTTCACTATTCATATTGGATGTGATGTAATTCATATTCCAGTGCACAGCCCCCCCTTTTTACTTCCTTTCTTTGGTCCAGATTCTGCCATCCCTTTTATTGGTGTAAATGTGAAAAATAATAATGAAGACAGAGAAATAAGGCATAACAATAACATGATTTAGCACTAATCTCATATATGTAAGAAATTTTTGATAAATCAAAAAAAAATCAGAGGGCAATCGGGGGGGGCATGTTCCCCTAGTCCTGAAAATTATACCCCAAATGCCTAAATTACTGAAACACCTCTTACAGGCATGCCTCCCCTCTTTAAAAGAACCAATCACAACTAACCACGCAGGAAAAAAGGTTTATTCAAATTGCTCCAGCTTCAAAAAGTAGAAGCCCTACTAGTGGCAGAGAAAAAAAAGCTGCTTTGGGGGCAAAAAGGGCTGGGCCATTTAGAATTAGCCTTTGTGTCATGTCATCAGTAAAAAAAATTTTTTTTACAATTAACCCATTAATAAGTGCATCATATCCTGTAGTACTTGACCATAGTATAGTCTCAGCCAGTTTTGGTGCAATCCTCTCCTGAATGTCCTTAGGTTCACTTTCTGCCACTTCCATTCCATAGCTTATTAAGCACCTTCCAAGTCACCCACTTCTGTGGGTGGCCAGGGGCTAGATTTTCCTCATTTTAGGAGCTGGGTAGTTTTCTCCACATTATAAGTCCTGGCATTCTCTGTGGTTCCTTCAAGATTTACAGATGCTTTGATTTCCACTGGGGAAGGGAGGGATGTTAGCAGCAGAATGAATGAGTATCTGAGGTAGAGGCTTTGAGCTTTCACAATTAGCTCCTATCTCTCTCAGTATGTCACCAAGTGCAATGCCCACTAGGCTGTTTGTCCTAAGGGTGGCTTTTGACAGGAGGAGACAGGTGATTGCAACCCTGTTGATCTTCTCTGATCTCTCAACTTCTTGATATCACAGACCATGTATCCTTTAGCATTGGGTCCCTGGGCTGGGAATTCGGAGCGTTGTTTAATGATTCTGCGCCTCTTGCAGGCCAGGCTGCAGAGAATGGCACAATCTCTCAGTCCCCTGGCAGGTACTCCATAAGGTGCCTCAGGGCACCAGGTTATTTCCACTGTTGTTTTAACTCTACATGAAGCTACTCGGAATGGTAATCAACATGATTTAGTGTTGTGGCACTCATTGCATATAATGCATTTTCCTCCCCATCTGTCATGGCATTCAAAGTTTAGTTTTAAGCACATGTTATAAACATACCTATTTCTGCAAATCTTTCTTCCCTCTTCATCTATACCACTGACTATAAAACTATGATATGTTAAGATATGTACAGCATATTTTTCCATGGGCATATATCACATGTTTCATGATCATAGTATGTTTTTCTAATGTCACATTCTACCTTATCTCATAGAGAACAGTAGTTTATGACCTAAGTTTGCTGAATGTGTGTGCTACCTCACTTTTGGCTCCTTTCCCCTACATTTAGAAAAACAAATCTATACTGAGTTCCTTTTATGTTAGATCCACATACATCAATGCGCCATAAATTAAAGCAGATACATGGTTTCATCTGATAGTCTTTTAGACATTATGGATTAACTAAATAATTAAGAGGTCTAAAATAAAACATTTTTGTCTTCTACTAGAATTAACAACTCTAAAAAGAATTAAATTCCTCCCATCAATGTGAAATGAATACATGTACTGTACTGTATTTGGAAGCATTTTCAAGTACATAAAGAAGTTGATAAGTGTACTGTTTAAAACTCTTTTTTTAAACTAGCAATACTTTATAAGATTTTACATACACCCCCTATAAGAAATGGTGGTGAAAACCTATTAAATGGGACTTAGTACAGTACTGTAGTACCCTTTATGAAAAGTATTGAAAACAGTGATGCTTACAAATGATACTATTGAAAAACAAGAAATGAAGATTTCTTTTGACATCAGCTGATTCAACATGCCAATTTGCCACAACCTGAAGGATGCAAGAAACTGACAGCAATGAAAGTATTTTATTCTAAGAAAGCTCACAAATCTAGTTGATGTCGCAGCTGTCTTAAAAAATGAAGCCCATGGGCAAAAACAATGATAGCTAAAGCCATTTCAATGTCTGAAGCTGTCTACCTGAACTGACAAGATGAGGTCTCACAAGCATCACTGGGTGTCAGGCCTCGAATACCTGTCAGCCGTTTACAGTGATTACTCATGCAAGATACAGCAAGGGCCACAACATCTAATGGTTTCCAGGTATCTATTGATTTTTTCCTCAAATGCCTTAATAGTTTTTCAGTGTAACTGAAATAGGATTTGTGTATAACAGGAGCTGAATCAATGTCCTTTCTTTTAAGAAAATTACTTTACCATGACAATTATTTAGCTTTGAACTGGAGAGTGTCAGTCTCCCTAACAGAAAACAACTGAATTGCCAAAAAGAATTCTTAATTAAATGGATCTAGAAAATATATTAGACAGCCTGTATTTGTTATAGCCTTTAAAAAAAACAATAAATATCTATTTTCAGGCTGGAAAAATAAATTCATGTAGCAAAGAGCACACAAGATTTTAAAAAAGTTAAAACTACTACACTAGCATACATTTCATTTCATTAAAGTGTGGGGATGGATAGACTTAAATTTTGAATATTCTGTTGCTCTAACGTATAATTGGCCTACACATAATGACTCATGCAAAAAGGACATATAATACTGGCTAAACATCTTTCCCGAAGAATAACTTAGACTGGTTAATTGTTTCCTCAGGAGTAATTCCAAGTGGTTGTTCTAATGTGGTGTCAAGTGACATCCAGCTTGTGAAAATCTTATGATGTCCAAAATGTCCTGTCCTCAAAAGCCTTGCTCAGCTCTTCTAAACTCAAGTCTGTGGCTTCCTTTAGGGAATCAATCCATCTCATATTTGGTCTTCCTCTTTTCCTGCTGCCTTTAACTTTTCTCAGTATTGTTCTTTCCCCCCTGAAAATCTTCTCATAATTATCTGTGCAATGTATGACAGCCTCAGTTTGTCATTTTTGTCTGCAGAGACCATGGAGGCTTGATTTGGTCTCGAACCCAAATTGTATTTACCTGGGTCTGCCAATCCTGTTGTCTCTAGCAAGATGTAATCAAACTTGCCTTTCTTCTGCATCAAATTCTCAATAGCTTTCAATCCATTGTCCCTATATTTTTAAAAAATGACAATTTTAATGGAACAAGAATATTCATTTCTATTTATTTATATCTATGGGCTATTCTGAACTTAATGCTGTTCTCATGCTTCGTCAGTCTCCTGGGCAGACACATACATAGCAGCATTTGCATATTCATAAATATTTTCCAGAACTTTTATGAATGGCAGCCCATCCCACCCTGTGTTTGTATGCACGTTAAACAACTCAGACAAACCAAAATTTGCTTTCTTATGCCCAGGGATCAGTATACATTCTGCTGTCTTGGGACTTGCTAGAGGCATCAGCTTCAACAGGAAATTATCAAAATAAGTTATTTTTCAATATTGGTCCTGTTGAAACAGATGTCACACAAGCTGGCTTTATCCCTCACATCTTGCAAAAACTTTATTATGAAATTAGACCATGAGGCATTTTCGTAAATATTCTGGTACAAAACAAAACATTGGTCCTGTTGAAACAGATGTCACACAAGTTGGCTTTATCCCTCACACCTTGCAAAAACTTTATTATGAAATCAGACCATGAGGCATTTTCCTAAATATTCTGGTACAAAACTAATGTATTGTATTTTTTGCTCCATAAGATGCACCTCTCTATAAGATACATCAAATTTTTAGGGGAAGAAAACAGGAAAATAAAAATCTGTATTCTTCTTCTAAAAATTTGGTGAGACCTATGGAGAGCTCTGTCTTATGGAACACACCCTCGGACCCTTTGGAGGCTCACCCTCCCCCCCCCCGGAGGCCAGAGGGGGCGAAATCACCACCTTCAGGGACTCTTCTGAAGCTTCCCAAGTCTCAAAAGAGTCCCAAAAGGTGGCAACTTCGCCCCTCTGGCCCGGCAAGGGGGGCAGGGTGAGCCTCCAAAGGGTCCTAGGGTCTGTTCCAGTACCATTGTGAGGCTCCCCCCACCCCCACAGGGCCAGTGGGGGGCGAAATCGCCAGCTTCTAGGACCTTTTCTGAGGCTTGAAAGGCTCAGAAAAGGTCCTAGAAGCTGGCGATTCCGCCCCCACTGGCCCTGTGGGGGTGGGTGGGGGGGGCCTCGCAAGGGTCCGAGTTAGCCTTCCAGGACTCTTTCAAGGGTTCCCCCACCGCCAGCGGGGGTGAAACTGCCAGCTTCTAAGACCTTTTCTGGCATCTTATGGAGCAAAAAAATACAGTAAAAGATAAGGTCTTTGATTTTAGAATTCTTGAATTTTTTAATTCTGCTACAGGAAACCTACAAATTAATTAGGCAGAAGGCTGTACACACAAAGGAACACCAAAACATGACCAATTTCTAAACCTTTTTAAAAGAAAAAGTTCCTTACTTTACAGAACAGCAGAGACAACCATTTCTAAGCTCCAGCCATTCCTCATAGAGTTCTCCACCTTGACTCACAGCCAAAGATTTCTCCAAGGCACTTCCTAACAATACAGGAAAAAACAATCAAATTGTGCCCTCTCCTGAACAAAATGCAAATCTTCGGTGAAAGAGAACCAGATGTCTAGATCAGTCTGTTCAGCCACAGTTATCAGAAGGCAGAGTCCAAAATATGTCAGCTTACACTCAAAAGAAAATCATTATTCCCACACTAAGACTGTGTGCCTACATTTTCTCCACCTGAATCTAAATCAAGCTGCATTTTACCTGTGCTTTCAGTCACTCCTCAAATTAACTTATACCTTAATAGTAAGGGATGAAACACAGAAAGAATAGAAAAGTGAAAAATCTTTAAAATCCTCCCCATTGCTGAATCTCTCCTTTAAAATAAAGGAAGACCATGCTTTCATACAGATATAATCCAGTTTTGCTTCACATCTTCTCGTAAAATTCAGGCTGGCTTAGAGTAACCAATATCAAAGGTCATTCCATCTGAGCAAACAGATTGGGGGGGGGGAACGATATCATTATGTGTGTCAGAAATTTTCTGAATAGGGCATGGGCTATATTTCCAATGCATTGTACAAAAGGTAACACACACAGTCTGGCAAGGTGGCTGCAAACGATGATTTGCTTCATTCATACTTGGAAGTTCTGAGCTATAGCTTAGCACATTTTAAATCAACTACTGCTAATAATATTCTCCGTGAATAGTATCATCATCTTAGAAGGGACCCTATGGATCATCGAGTCCAGCTCCTGTCAGGGAGGCACAGTGGAGAATTGAACTTCTAACCTCTGGCTCCGCAGCCAGATCCCTAGACCACTGAGCTATTCAGCATTTGTGAAGTGTTCTTGGAGAAGAGGATACAGAAAACCTTCCATTTATGGCAGCTCACTTTGCAACCCTCTGCTTTCACAACCATCACGAGTTACTGCCCCCATCCAAAATTCTCATTTATGACTTAGTATGTAAACACAGCTGTTTGCAGTGACAGGTGCTATAAACTGCTGTGTTTACTTCACCAAGTAAGAAAGTGTAGGTGGGAGGAAGAAGACAGCAGAGTCAAGAGGGGAAGGCCTGTCAAGGAAGCAAGAGAAGGGAGATGGAGCAGAGCAGCAAGAAAATAGCAGAGGCTAGACGGGGATGGCCAAAAGCAAGCTTAGAGAGAAGACCTGAGGCTGAAAAGAGAGAAAACTGCTAAGGTCAGAGCAGAGTGCGCTGAAAACAGGAGGTGTGAGGGGAAAAAATGAGTGGAAAAGGAGAGGTTTCACTTACAAGTCGTGAAAAAGTACACTGCCCAGAGTAGTCAAATGACTAGATGGGCGGGATATAAATATAATGAATAAATGAATGAAAATTCTCCAGGAACTAAATCCAGGTTATAACATGGACCCTAAGGGGGAAATTAGGTTTGACTTACAACAGCTGAGTTTACAACTATTGTCAGGAAACCAATAAGACTGCAGAGTTTGCCGTAATTGACTACGACCATTAGTCTTTTGGACTAGATTTGCTGGCAAACAACAAGTGTTGATTCTCTGTAGACTTTTGTTTCAAAGTAAGCTGCAAAATAAGACTAAAGCAAATTAATTTAGTGGGGTACATATTCTCCTGTAAGAGCAGAAAAGATGGAATTTTGAAAGTGGCATTAACTTTATCAATTACTCTAACAAATGCCAATATGCTGGCTTAATTAGGAGTGAAGAAAAGCAGTTTGTCTTGAGCAATGGTTCCCTACCTTGGATCCCCAGATGTTTTTGGACTAAAACTCACAAAAGCCTTCATTACTAGCTGTGCTGGCCAGGATTTCTGGGAGCTGTAGCCCAAAAACATCTGAGGAGACAAGGTTGGGAATCACTGATCTACAGGCTGAAGGCTTTTAAAATTATCCCTATGCCTCTATGTGGGCTATATCCATCCTGGCAGCCTTAGACAGGAGAGCAGTCTTTTCAGAATATTTCTGCTGGAGAATACTTGAATGTTCCTTGTTAATATAGCAATACAATCATGATCCAACTTGCACATACTATATAGCTTGTACTCTTCAGAAGACACAATGTGTGTTGATTTGAAATTGTCCCACCACTATTCAGTCTATGTACTTGTGAGAGGGACAGCTCTGCTGTCCGAAGTGGGATGTCTGCCTTATGCATTGGCCCACTGGAAGATGTTCCTGCCTGAAGGAGGAGACAAGAGATGCCCACAGGAGTAGGGGTGGGAAACAAGGTGATGGAGGAAGAAGTACAACAGGTCCACGAAGAGGTTATCCAGGCAGCTGGTGGGCTGGAGGGAGTAGGTAGAACCAGTTGGGGGAGAAATAAAGGAGAAGAGGAGGGGGACTGTTTAGAAGTGGTCTTTGCCCTAGGGGAGGAGAAGGTGGAAGAACCCTTCATGGTCTAGAATCCTTGTATAGCTTCACTCAGGGCCAAGAGCTGGTGAGCTAGGCATCATATCCCCCAAAATGCTAGGACCAACCGGGTCACCCCTCTGCACTGCAACAGGGGGTTGCAGTAGCTACATCCACTGAAAGTGACACTGAGGTGATGCCATCAATACCAGTAGTTGGTACAGCTGGGTCAGGAGAGGAACAGCTAGGGCTGGAGTTTCAGTTTTCAACTTGCTCACTGGCTGTCATTAACAAAGACCCACACATTTAAACTTAGCCCATGCTTTGGACTGCAAAGGACCTGGGTCTAGTGAACCTAACCAGGACACAAGATGAAGGACTAACAGGAACTGTGGAAGGGATTAGGGAAGAGACCTTGTGTGGCCTGTTTAATATCTCAACAAAGCCAATTGTAGCTGTTAACCAGCCTGCTGAATCAATGGAGATCATGGTGGAGGACGTGGCCCCAGGCTCAAGAGGGGACAGCATGGATCACAGTAATTCCAAATTTAAGTGGCAGTTTTTGCAGAGCCAAAAAGGAGTAATCACCTCTCCTGTGTAGCAGTTCCAGGTGTCCGACCATTTATTTTCTGTCCAAACCACAATACCTTTTGCCATAAACAAAGACTAAATGCTTTTCTGGAGACTCAAGATACAATCTCCAATCACTAGTATCTCCTTTGACCTATACCAGGGCAGTAAAATTTTTGCCCTAGCATCTAATAAGGCATAACAGCAGCTTTGGCAAGTAATATATTTAAGTCTGATACTCTTGCAGGGAAGGCTGAGAAGAATGGGTATGAGCCGTCTGCCCCCCAAAAGGCAAGAAGATAGACCCTTTTTTTTGCCTCCATGACACAGCAGTAATGGTTTCTCCTTTCCTTAAGCCAGAAGAATAGGAGGAAAATTTGTATATTCTGGCTCCCAAGTGGCAGGAGTTTGAGTGAAACACTAACCTCTCATGTGGTTGCATCAGGCTATTTCAAATTACCTCACAAAAGACTGCCAGATTGTATGGCCAACCAAGATATGTTCTCTTGAGTAAAACAAACTAATTCAGATGATTATCCTTTCTGCTGCTACTACATATTCAACTTAAAGAGATAAGAAAAATAAATGCCATAAACATATAAAATACCAGAGCAGATATTGTCTTTTCTTCTGTCAAGAATGTAGAAGTGAGTGTTGTTTCAATGACAATTTTAAAATTCTAGAACCATACATTTAGACTTTGACACACAGAACATGCTTGCATTTTACATACCTTCACCAAATTCATTTAGAATAACTGCTATTCTTTTTTTGTGCTGTTCAGTCAAAATATAATTAAGAAGAGTAGTTTTCCCAGCACCTAAAAAACAGGATGAATTTGACATTATCGAAGATGAAGGAGGAATTTTAGAATAAATTGAACAATAGTTCTACCTATAGTAAACCCACTAGAAGAGCGGGTTTCTTAATCTCAATTTACTTAAGTTCATTGGACTTCTACTGGCCTATTTCTGTGGGAGATAATTCTGGATTTTGCTCCCACCCACCCCACCCCACCCCCGCTTTTCTTGAACACAGATAAAACAGGCTTTCAATTATTTTTTTAAAATTCATGGTTATAAAGGTTATCTTTAATTTTCAATTCCTCTTCGGATATTCTTAGTAGTTACCCACCAACAGACTGATGGTATTAATCCAGTTCAATGATCAAATGTATCCCAAGAAAATCATATAAATAAAAAAGCCTTGCAGAAGTTATTAAATATGTCACCGTTTGGAAGGAGGGAAGTTTGCTAAGAACTTTCTTTTTCCATTGAAACAGGGGTAGTCATAATAAGCCCGCACTATGACCCCATGGTGATTAAATATCCCAGGTCCCAAACAGCATCAGCACCTTCTTATCACAGCACTCTTGAAGACTTTCTTTGTAATGGTACTTAGAACTATGCAGATATTAGAAACCCACACAGTAGAGAATCAGAATGATGCGGAACTTGCTGGGGACTTGCATCGGGGACATATCCACATTGGGGCTTACTAATGTACTGCTCAGTACAAGTAAGACTGTGTGCATACGGTCCCCTGTATAAAAATGATTGCCAATGTGTTAAATGTTCTGTTTCCTGGATAGGCTTGTGCAATTGTGACATCTCATCTCACAAAGGATTTGAGCATCTGCATAAAATAATTACAGTACTTTTTAAAAACATCCTAGGTAGACATGATGCTCTAACAATCAGCATGGGCTAATTGTGTTCTCTTACCATACCTCATCTACTAACAGTGCCTAGAGATCGAGGTCTTAGCAAAGAATACTTTCATGGGCTTTAATTTAGACTCAAACTCATATTCGAACTGTGCTGTTATATATATATATATTTGAAATCTGCTGTTTTAGACATGTTGTGTATTCTACATGCAAAACAGAAAACACAAGATTCCTTGCAGTAAAAGAAAGGAAAACTGCATATAAGAACAGAAAGGCTTAATTCTCTGCAATATTTCAGTATCGAGCATACTGCTTATTACCTAAATATCCTGTGATAATAGTAACGGGAATCTTACGAGCCTTGCTAGATTGAATATCACTTTCTTTTATCTCTGGTTCTCTTATTGGAATCAGCTCAGGGCAATCCTCTTCTTCCTCTACCAAAGCAGCTTCCATCTTCTAGTCACTACAATCACCTGCCAAAAACAGAGACAAGAATACGTAGTATTACATAAGACCGGACTTATAACATTAAATACAGGAAACCGGGTGGCTCATAGAAAAACAGGGAGATCTTTCACGAGCACGTATATTTCACTGCCCCATTTTTGTTCTTCACATATCCCCCACTATCCAGTCTCCTCTTTTCTCATGTCATATAAAGGCCAGTCCTGAAAATCCAGCAGGATGAAAAAAAAGAATACAGGATGAGACCACGCGGATAAGAGTGGGGTTGTTTCTCAGGGCAAAATACGCCAGTCCTGAAAATCCAGCAGGATGAAAAGAAAAAAAGAATACAGGATGAGACCACGTGGATAAGACTGGGGCTCTTTCTCAGGGGCAAAATATGCTTTTAAAGGTTTTTCTGCTGCAATTGCCTTGCCGTGTTCACAGAATTTTACAAGGCATCCCAATAGCAGTGCCTTCTATTTGTAATCCTCCTGTGATTCTGCAATGCTTTTCTTTCTACCTTATTTCTTATCACAAGAAGATTATACTGTAAATGGAAAAATATCAGAGGAAAAGATGGAACAGATGCACAATGCTGTTTCTTTTTGGGGGTCCCAAAAGCCCCGAGTCTGAACACACCCTTAGTTTTTAACAGCTAGGTCACCAAGGGCAGAACTTGGTGCTCACAAGTGCTCTACTTTCCCTCACAGTTTAAATGACTGTTGTTCACACTTGTGAGAGGTCCAACACACAAGCACACAACTATAAGGACAAAACTGCTCCATCCATCCCCACAATCATGGACAAAGAGTGCGACCAGATAGCAAGAAAGCATTGCATATGATTGCAGCAGAGAGGGTGAATTTGCTATCTCGCACTGGACAGCATCACAAGCCCTTGAATTTCCTCATCTGGTTGTACCCAAAGTCTACTGTGTGCAATACATTCCCACATATACACAACTCAGACATACACAACATAAACACAACAGGAACATAACCTCTGAGAGCCTATTATGTGTGTAAACAATGCACACTTTGAAGTATCATTGTATGAGCCGGTCTCCATCCTCACAGTTATACAGTATTTATATAAAAATCTGCAGCTAAATATTCTCCTCTACGTGTCTGAGGAAATGGATTGTAATCTACAAAAATTCGCAACAAAACAAATTTGTTAATCTTTAAGGTGCCACAACAGTGCTGCCTTTATTTTTGCTTGGGTTTTTGTTCAACATATAGAGGTGCCTCGTGATGGTTAAACTGCAGTACAGTGGTACCTCGACTTGAGAACATCCCTACATAAGAATGATTCGAGTTAAGAACGGCTCCATTTGCAAAAAGGTGCTTCCACTTGAGAACGGAGCCTCGACTAAAGAACAAAAGAGAAAGAAAGAAAGAAAGAAAATGAAAAAGAAAAGAAACTTTTCCTATCCTTTTTTGATCTAAGTTCACCTTAGGTCAAAAGAAGAAAAAAATTTAAAAAAACTTCACCCCCTAGTGGTAGATATGGATTAACCGGCTTTGCAATTAGTTCCTATGGGAACTAATGCTTCGACTTAAAAATAGCGCCTCGACTTAATAACAAAAAACAGCAGATACGGATTAAATGGTTGTCAATGCATTCCTATGGGAAATGGTGCTTCAACTTCAGAACGTTTCAACTTAAGAATGCAGTCCCAATACGGATTAAGTTCTTAAGATGAGGTACCACTATATTACAGAGGCAATTAGTTCCTATGGGAACTAATGCTTCGACTTAAAAATAGCGCCTCGACTTAATAACAAAAAACAGCAGATACGGATTAAATGGTTGTCAATGCATTCCTATGGGAAATGGTGCTTCAACTTCAGAACGTTTCAACTTAAGAATGCAGTCCCAATACGGATTAAGTTCTTAAGATGAGGTACCACTATATTACAGAGGAAAGGCAGATCAAAGAATAGGGATACAGCCTGTACTGGATGGGGTTACACTCCCCCTGAAAACACAGGTGTGCAGCTTGTGGGTGCTCCTGCTCCTGGATTAATCTCTGAGCCTGGATGCCCAGGCTTCAACAGTGGGCAGGAGTGCATTTGCACAATTAAAACTAGTGTGAAACTAGTGTGTCAGCTATATCTGTTTCTGGATAAATCTGATCTGGCCACTGTGACACACGCCCTAGTTACTTACTGGCTGGATTACTGTAATGTGCTCTATGTGGGGCTGCTGATGGAAAGTGTCAGGAAACTTCATTAGGTCCAAAGTGCAGCAGTCAGATTGCTGACCAGAAGTGGTTACAGGGATCATATAACACCCACCCACCCACCCACCCCCGTTACAGCAGATGTTTCTGGGGAAAATTCAAAGTGCTGGATCCCTTAAGGGTCAGGGTCCAAGCTATCTCAAAGACCGTGTCTCTCTCTGTGAGCCAGCTCGGGTGTTAAGGTCACTGGACAGGCTTTCCTCTCAGTCCCACCACTTTCACAGGAGCATCTGATGGGGACACAGGTGTTGTTGCTCTCAGATTTTGGAACTTCCTCCCACAGGAGGCCAGACTGGTTCCATCTTTGCTGACCTTCCACAGGCAGGCGAAGACCTTTCTCTTCAGTCTTTCTCTCAATGACCGCCTATACGACTGTGACTTTTAGATGGATTGTTACGCATCACTGCTCTGACTGAGTCTTAAGTACTACTTGTGTTTACCACCGCTCAGAGTGGTATTTGTTTCTTTTTAATATTTGTATACTTATTGTTTTAGCTTCAGTGTGTCTTTTAATGACATTGTTCTTCCCTCCTTGACACTTAGTTCAGTCGTGTTCGACTCTAGGGCGCAGTGCTCATCCCCGTCTTCAAGCCGTAGAGCCAGCATTTGCTCGTAGACAGTTTCTGTGGTCATGTGGCGAGTGTGACTAGATACGGAGCGCCGTTACCTTCCCACCGAGCTAGTATCTATTTATCTACTCGCATTTACATGTGTTTTAACTGCTAGGTTGGCAGGAGCTGGGACAAGCAACGGGAGCTCACTCCGTCGCGTTTACTCGATCTTACAACTGCTGGTCTTCTGACCTTGCAGCATAGAGGCTTTTGTGGTTTAACCCTCAGCGCCGCTACATCCCTTCATTGTTCTTAGCTTTGAATATTTTCTTTTAATTATGTAAACCACCGCCGTACACTCATTGTTTTCAGCTTTAAGTGTTGTTTTTCAATTATGTAAAAGCCACCTTCAGTCCTTTTTAAGGAGAAAAGCAGGGTAAAATATTTTAAATAAATTAAATAAATACAATCAAACTTCTGCTCACAACCTGAGTTTGATTCTGACAGATTCAGGTAGGCAGATCAAGGTTCACCACCCATCCTTCCATCCTTCCAAGGTAAGTAAAATTAGTACCCAGCTTGCAGGGGGCAAGTGGTGACTTGCATAATTACTATATGTTGTAAACCGCCCATAGAGTGCTCCAAGCACTATGGGGCAGTATGCAAGTTGAAACAAGAAAAACATAAAGTATGCTGCTGTCCAATAATGCTTTAAGCACTGTCTGGACTGTTTACAATTTAATTATGCAGGCTATACATTGTTAGCAACAGGCATTTTACTAGTTATTCAGACTTCCAACTCATGGAATATTCCCACAAGGTTCAAAGCCTGCTCTGCAAGAATGGAAAGAAACATAAGGAGGCCTGAACAAAAGAGGGTTTGTAATTTTCCAACACATGGCCTTTCACATTAACAGCTACATAAGAAATTACAGCCAGCCTTCTCAAGAAGTTGCTCCAAAAAGCAGAAACACAACAAAGCTTCAAGATTTAGAACTAGGAGTTTGGGGTTCAAATGGTAGAAGAGGTAATTGTGACCAAATCACTCTGGGAGGCTTTCAGGTAGCTTAGGTAAGGGGCAGAAGGAGGGATCCCTTTAAGTCCTTCATTGGGTTTAAATTATTGTGAGGGGAAATAGGCTTCAAAGCAGAGGAACAGACTTCTTCTGAGTCCCTGGAGAAATCTTCACCACTGCTTTCAAGTCCCATAGCTATGTCACGGGTTGTGAGGGGCGTGTGTGAGTGGGCTGGTTCTCACCCCAATTTCCTTTTGTGTCAGAAGCTGATCGTTTTGGAGCCATGGAAGATTCCTAAAGTAATGGGAGGATCTAGAACAAGTGTCCTTCCAGAACTGCAGCCTTGTAGACGGCTAAGCAGCTGGCTGGCAAGCTCACGACTCCTGAGCAGCTGGGTCGGGAGTTCAGTTTCCCACAACCTTGCAGAAGAGCTATTCCATGTGGTTTTAGGCTAGCCGACAGCCCTGCAGAAGAAGGGACCGATCAACGACTTCTGCTTACTCGATATCTCAGGAACCTTGCAAAGATTAAGCCATACGTCTAACTCGACTTCATGGCAAGTCAGTATTATTTATATTAAAAAATTGCGAACGGAGGCCTACAGAACCAGCTCGGGCAGGAAGAGTTTTCCAACCCAACAGACAAAGTGGGAGACTGCAGTGGTGCACGCAGGAGCTGTGGGGCTGCTAGCGAGCCCCAGCAGCACCTTCCCGCCCCTCCGTAACACCAGTCCTCCCAGTCCCGTCCCGCCCCCCCCAGCACCTACTTGTCAGCAGTACTCAGTCCTGCCAACTCCGAGCCTCCATTCCAGCACCTACCCCGCCTCCTGCAATCTCTTAAGGCAACGCGGAGGCGCTCCTCAGCTTTCGTTTCAAAGGAGCGAAGAGAGTGCCTGCTTCGTCCTTCGCGCCTATTTGCCGTTTTTAGCAACTATTGCTCGGCTTCGGAGCCCGAAAAAGCGCTTTTCCTGCAGAGCGCCGCGGCGCCCTCTTGCGCGTCATGAGGGACGTCAGAATGAGGACATCGAGAGGCGGCGCCTCGAAGTCGCCTCAGCCCCTTGAGAGGCGAGGAGCTGGTTTGTTTCATAAGCACGAACGGGAGTGGAGTTGATTAGGGAAGAAAGATTTGGGGATGTTTCGTCCCAAATAGTAACTGTCCTAATCTGTGTCTCCACTATTAATATGTACACCACCTGGAGAACCGCAGGATTGCATAAACAAACTTGCCCCGTTTCCTCGGATTGTCTGCTTACTGTCTGAAATCAACTGTAGCAACAGTGCTTGTTGTTTAGTCGTTTAGTCGTGTCCGACTCTTCGTGACCCCATGGACCAGAGCACGCCAGGCCCTCCTGTCTTCCACTGCTTCCCGAAGTTTGGTCAAATTCATGTTGGTTGCTTCGATGACACTGTCCAACCATCTCGTCTTCTGCTGTCCCCTTCTTCTCTTGCCTTCACACTTTCCCAACATCAGCGTCTTTTCTTCTCATGAGATGGCCAAAGTCTTGGAGCGTCAGCTTCAGAATCTGTCCTTCCAGGGAGCACATTGAATAGCCCCATACGCCAGGACAAGGCAGCAATCCCCTTCACAAACAAGTAGACAAGTGCATTTTTTCAAGCCTTGTGCATGCTGAATTGACCTGTCCATTCCAATCTGAAGATATTTTTATAGATTTTTTAACTTTTTTTGTTCCAATGTACATTATTTTACCCCTTCACGATCCAATCTGAAGATATTTTTTATAGATTTTGAAACTTTTTTTGTTCCAAGGTATATTATTTTACTCCTTCACAAATTGCTGCCTTGTCGTGGCGAAGGGGCTTGAGTAACTCAGAGAAGAGATGCGCCATGGCTAAACGCAATCCACCTGGAGTAGGCATTGGCCATGCCACTCCAGTATCTTTGCCAAGAAAGCCCCATGAACAGAAACAAAAGGCTTAAAGATATGAGTCTGGAAGATGGGACCCTCAGGCCGGAAAGTGTCCCAGAAGCTGTTCAACTTTGGTTAGCAAGAATGAAAGTCACTCACCCAGTAGGTTCCTCATCTTGTTCAGGAAAAGTGTTTGTGTGTATGTGTGTGTGGGGACAGATCCAGATAGGGAAAGGACGTAGAAAAGATTAGCAGTGATCAACAGAGAGTGGACAAATATATGTGATCTCTTGAGATCTCTCCTCTCTTGAAAGGAGACCAAAGGAGACTGAGATGTGATGGGCTTTACACAAAGGCTGTACACCTAAGGCGATTGTGAGGTGTACTGGGTAGTATTGTGAGGTCGGGAAGCCCAAGGTGATGGTGATAGGTTGCTTGCTTTCAGTTTGATAGAAGGAAGAGGCTATTGAAATCTCCAGAGCCTTGAAAAGTTACTTCCTTAGAATGCACCTCCTGGAATCCCCTAGTCATGCTGGCAAGTAGATTTGGGGAATAGTAATTAAAAACCTCCCCTTCATGGATTGTTGCCTTGTCGTGGCGAAGGGGCTTGAGTAATTCAGAGAAGCTATGGGCTATGCCGTGCAGGGACACCCATGTCCTCCTTTTGCCTGACATCTGGCAACCCTAGGCAGGAGGCATCTCTTTAACTACTTCCTCAGGTTTAAAAGATTGTGTGGGAAAATTGGCTTAAAAACAGGATAGCCCTTCTGAGTCCCCTGGGAAATCTTCACTTTCTGTTAAATCTGATGCTTTCTTGCTCAAGCAGTGGTGATGCTATGATAGTTTCTGGAATGTGATGCAGGGAATCATGCATCCTGAATAGAAGATACACTTAGACACTTTCAGTAATAATTTAATTTTCACTTGTTCGTGCAGGGCCTACAGGGTGAATTCGATTCACATTTCGTTCAATACAGTGCAGTCAGGATGGACTGCCTCTCTGATCAATATATATCTGAAAAATTTCACCCTTATTCTGCTTCTCTTTTTTAAAAGTCCCTGGAAAAGGCCAAAATCTTGTTCTTTAGCATAATAAATTGCACTAGAGTTAGGCTCATTGAATCAATGGGGATTTGGTGAGTCAACTGCTGCTTAAATGCCATTGATTCAAATGGGCCTACTTTAATTTCAATTTACGCTAAAGACGTTGCAATTAGAATAGGCTCATTCGAATCAATGGCATTTGTGAAGTAGTTGACTCACCAAATCCTCATTGATTCAATGGGCCTAGTAATAATTGCATGTCATCAAGCTGATCCCAATTTATGGCAGTCCTTTCCATGGTTTTCATGATAGTGAGTGTTCAGAAGTAGTTTACCATTCCCTTCCTCTGGGGGCACCTTGGGACTGTGCAGTCTGCCCACGGCTATGCAGGCTGCATCTTTTCCTAGGGAGCACCATGGGAATCAACCTCTGGTTCAGCAGCCACATACCTAAACCACTGAACTTTCCAGCCAGTCCTGGATACTACATGAAGAAACAGGATTTTAACATGCAATTGCCACTAAAGGTCTATATTTGTCTTTTTCTTCTTCTAATTTCCCATCAATCATATATCTTCAGTTAGTCCCCAGTTTCTTATAGTACACTATATTTAAGTGTTGGTTCTCCACATTTTATATCAGTCCATCAAATCCTGCCTGATATTCATTAATAAGTTCTCTGTCAAAAAATAAAAAATCATCATCAACACCTTAGAATTGCAGAGCTGAACTCTAAGGATCATGAAGTCCAGACCCCGTTAAGGTGGCACGGTGGAGAATTGTGCTTCCAACCTTTGGCTCTGCAGCCAGATGCCTAAACCAGTGATCAGGGAACAGGGGTAATTTTACCCCAAATGGGATAAAAATGAAAATCCTGGGGGTAATGAGGACACAACCCCAACCCCCTTCCCTCCTCCTCCTCCTCTGCCCAGAGGGGGGGGTCCCTGGCTACCTGTAGCCCCCTTCCCACGAGCCACGACGGATGGCAGCCAGCAACGGGCCTTGGCCAGTGGCATACAGCAGCTGAGGAGTGGTGAGGCCGGCCATGGTGGAGGGCGAGGCCGGGGCAAGTGGCCAGAGCACCCCAGCCAGGAGGAGCCTCTCCTTCCAGTTACTGGAGAGGCTGATCATAGCGGGGGGTGGGGGTGGGGGGAGGCCATGACGGTGGTCCGGGCCAGGCTCAGCCTCCTGGCACCAGGACACTGCCCCCCACGCCCTGTCCCCGTTCCCGGAAGGGCCCGTTGGGCAGCAGCAGTGCTCACCCGGCCACATGGCTTTTTTGTCGGCACATCTGCGCTGGCCAAGCCTGGCAGAGCCTCTTGCCCTCCGTGCGGCAGCTGTTGTAGCCCTTCGGTGGTGAGGCCTGCGGGAGCCCTGATGCCAAGGCGCCATGCAACCACCCCGGCGAGCAGCCACCAGAGCCGGTGCCAGAGAGGGAGGCAGCGGTGGGTG